GTTCGTTTTCCAATGAGGCCTTCGGCTCTCACACTTTTACATGGGTATTTGTTTTCATCTCAAGGTGATAAACCGGATGAAGGGAACAGATGTGGGGAATTACCGATGGGTTAGCCAATGAGCAATCAAGATTGGTTTCGCTAGAGGAGAACAAGGTATCCCCGGCAAACAAGTGCTTCACATTTACGCTTCGTCATTATTTAACCACAATTGGTTACCTATGGCTGCAGCACCCACACCCATAGAGCGGTGGGTAACCGAACACGCGGCGCCTTACTGTGCACTATATACAGTTAGAGAAAGCTGATTGACCATAACCATGTCAAAGGAGGAAAAATCTCAGATTAATGAAAGTGGGTCAGTACCCTAATATTGATACATCATTGGAAACAAGCCACCGTATCGCATCGTTTGTACTGCCCTACATGGGATAATAATATGTTGGTCCACCAGTAGCTTTTCGATTCCACTTGGGATTTTTCTGAGTATCAACGGCTACACTGAACTGTGATGGAAAGATGCCGGCTAACAGATCACGATTAATCTTGGGTGGATAACTGGCGATTGTGATATCAATGATATGGTAGTTGCTAGAGTTATCAGTTGAGTAACTAGAGGATTGGAGGACGAACAGGATGTCGCGAGCCAGCCATTCTTCGATGTAGCAGTGCCAATCAAGTGCGGCGTGTGTCGAAAATAATGAAGATTGGCAGATACAAATGAACTGGGTTTCATAACATCCGAAGAGTCGGGTAATTTTACGATAGAATGGACGAGATTCGGCTGGGATGGTTAAAAGCATAGGTCAGTGGACTGAGTTTAATTCGAATGAATGAATGGCTAACGACACATGGCATGCCTCACGCAAGGAAAAGAGTAGATACTCCACTGCCTGTGTGGCGGAGAAATCCATCTTTCGTTCAATGCATGGATACACAAGTAACGAGACGAAGTTGTTCTGTCAATTTCGGCAGCTGTAATCATTGAGAACCCCCGACACTCCGAACGAGATAAACTTCGTTTTGAATTGCTCTAGGAGTAACGGAATAATTCATTTGTTAACAGTATGTCTACCACTGAATAAAAAGCCATATGATTTGGGGTGCGTGCTTAAAGGTTTTACCTGATATCACCCATTCACTATGAGGGCCATCAGGTCTGCCACGTTATTATGTGGGGAACATATTCCATAAATAAACCGGACACCGAGAAAAATGAAGGCGTGTTCACGACGTCGTCGATTCCGCAACGGCCATTAGGCATTCAATTAGATTCGATGACCACCGCTGGTGTTTCTCATTGTATTTGGGGCATCTCGATTTCCTAACACGCGCTTCCCTGGGCGTGGTGGAGGCCAAGCTTCATTCAACCATGTTTCTCGCGAAAGACATCCGCGCTCTGGCGCTGTATTTACGCTCCGTCTTCGCCGACACGCGTCTGTTCTCGTAATGACACCATCCCACTCTGCAAGATTATGGCTCCAACTACGACTGCTCTGCAACCTCTTACGGTATGTTATCTACCCCAATTAGTCGCTGTCTCTCTCGCCATGGATGTGTTCTTCGTCATATTTGTTCTGTATCCAAGCGTCTGGAGTGTTATCCGACCAGACAATGACGGTCCTGAGGACGACTGATTAATCCTGTTTGCCTGTATAAGGACATTGGTCGCGCAAAGGACTGGGAATTTGGGATACGGTCAGAAAAGGTATGTTTACCTTGGCACTTGTGCAAATGCATTCAGAGCTGGTGTACGTCATCAAAATCAAAACATCACACTAGCTCTTCGCTGACATAGACATAAATTAAAAACTATTCGAACAGTGAGGAACAGGAAGGATGTATAATAAAAGAACATGGTAGTTGAACGCGTCCAGTAAACAGGGTCAGTGTACTTGCTTTTTGTGCGTACCATGGGATTACGGACGGCCGGATATCGTGTGAACATCAGCAAGGTAGCTTCCTTGTGGCACACCCGTTCGCCTTATAATCACTCATGCCTCCCATAAATACCACAGTACCATGCGCACTCTGAACAGGCAATCCGAATAAGCGACGAGATCAAACTACTAACGCTGGCCGTATGTAATACGCGTCGAACCGAGCAAGAGTTCGGCTGCGCGGACCCCATTTTGGAGAGTAAGGTGGATCAAAATCACCAAGATTGGTGTTTATGGACAACATTGTCAATCTTCAGGTCGACGAGCTCTTCACCTAAACGTCGGACTATCCAACTGCGGGTAACCGAAACAAAGAACTACTCAGTGAGCGCGGGAATGAGTGAGTGCTAGAAAGACGCAGATTATTTGACCGTATTTGTTGAACATGGTCACCGTCGCCTAGCACTGGCCTGCGCACCCGGTCGTTGTGGGCACCACCCTCATGCCATCTGTTGCTAGCAATGATCAAAAGAGTGCTTAAAATCTTCAAAATTGTGGAGCAAAGCCTTGCTATCGTCGACGAGATCGATCCTTACAGTGATCTTACACACACAGCCCTCAACATTAAGCGAAACTCAGGGTGCAAACAAATTGCTCAGCTTGGAGGCTTGATCAAAACGAATTCCAGCATCAAAGGGATCGCGAATTCATCAACGCAGTTCTGGCTTCGGAATGCGTGAAATAACTGCAGCAATTACGCGTCCGTCACTGCCGATGCAGCTACCAAGAAAAGGAAACTGACAGAGTGGGTGGTGGTCCTGAAACAGAAGTACACTTTGATGCATAGCGAATATCGAAGGAAGAGATCCAAAGTTGAGTTTCAACCTCCAGATTGTCAGTCATTAAAACGGTGTTGTTCCCATAAGCCGAATCAACCGCTTTCCCGAGGCAGCGCCGTAATTCCAGTATCTTGAGTTTGACAAAGGGACATCTTATGAAGGAGTCTGCTACAGAATGAAATGGGTATGCGGCAACCGTGACAAATCGTCGTACATCGGGATGCGACCTGAGACGTATGTAAAATATTCATCGATTTCATCTGAATACGGAAAGGAGCGATCATTTCTGTCGGGTGCACTCTCAACATAAGAAAAAGATTAAGGTCGGTTTGTGGTGCCAATCTAGCGTCTTATTTATACTGAAGATACAACCTAAGCAGTTCCGGCCCACTGGAAAAGTTACCTACATGGTTGGCGGCATCCGGTTTCGGATTTGCCTGTCACTGTGGCAAGCCACAGGACGCCTGCGCCTACAGAGGGACCATGGATGGCTTGCGCTGCACCACCCACAGCTCCAACCACATACCCCATATCCAGTGTAAACCCGAAGGAATAAGACCGGGAGGCATGCGGATGGGAACCACGTTTCATCAACCGAGCCGGCCCACACTCCTTCACAGGCAAACACAAGCACGCTGTATTTGGGGAATCAACCGCACACAAGGCGGTGGCTGGACCGTAGTCCGCTCCACACTGAGTGCATGGAACCGCTCTTTGAGACAAGCACGGCCACAAGAACCGTGCACCCCGTCCCCTCCAGCAACGACCAACTGTCTCCTGGAGCCAGTATGAACGATGTAGTGGGTAATAGACAGGTAGGCACCTTGTCAACATACACATCAAGCGCAACCATACCAGGGATATCAAACAACAGCCATTCACTTTAAACGACAAGCTGAAATAAAATAAATCCAATAATGCATACAGATACGGTGGCATAACTCTTCGCTAAATTACCATATGAAGTAAGTTGGTCAGCAACAAATCCGTGATAAGTAAGAAATGTCCACAAGTTACTTAAAATGCTACAAACGCAACAAAATTACCGAAGATAAGCGCAATTAGTGTAAGCAACGTGGCCAGTTAATAGAACATTATTCAGGGAGGCAGAACAAACCAAATAAAGCGGAATGAAATTTATCCAGTTTAAAACGACCTAGTTTAAGTCGGTTTAGCCCAACTGCGGTGAAGAAGCATCAAGAATGCAACATCAGCCTAAGCAGTTCCGGCCCACTGGAAAAGTTACCTACACAACTCTCATAAAGGAACCCCGAGTGATTGGCGAAGACGTTGTGATTGCCACAATGGTCAGTTCGCTCAAGTCGGCTACGACTGTTTCCGTCTTATATACCTATTCGGTCGGGTAGACCACATAAATATTTAGAGGTGTAATCCAATGGAGCAGAGGTGCCAAGAAGGTGGTACTATCACCTAAACTGTCCTGCTTGTTCGAAAATTGTAGAGTTGTTGCTCCCGATTGTTATGCTGTGAATTCATGCCTATAAGCCTGTTGGTATTTTTCTTGCTTCATCCTACTCCGCTCTTATTACGTGGAGGTGTAAGCCAGGGCAACTGGATCCACTGCTTCCCAGTGATCGGATCGCAATTTACCGATCGGACTGAGCTGAAGACTACAAGACTGGTAGTCTATATCACAGGCGTCTGCGGAGCATTGTTCACACCTGGCGAGATCGCTGAGTGAGCCATACAGAAGTCCGCTACTGTGGTTGGAAACACACACACTGATACGGCATTGGAATGTCCGTTGAAATGAAACTGCATACAGTATCCAGGTCAATTTTCTCGGCGTCTACCTGCTTCGGTCTAAATTTTGTACCGCAGGACAAATGGGTAATGGTACAGAAAGATGTCGATTAAAAACCGACCGAGACGTTAGACATCGACGCATAAAGAGCTTGTCCAGCATGGCAGTCATGGACGTTGTTGCAGGTGGATGTTAAACTTGCAACGTTTTGTTGCATCCATTTGTCCTAACAACTCGATTTCTCCGCAGTTGGAAGTGATTACTATTGTCGTAATGTGATTCATGGCAATTGAATCCGCAACACTTCGGTATCAAAAACAGCGAAAAAGTCACAAAACTAGTTAAAGCCGACACTTTCCCAGTCACCGCGATATTTTTGGCCTTATCGCAGGAAATTTATCTGTATGTGTGAGGATAATTCATCGCATTTCAGCCAAATCGAAACGCTGCTTACGAATTAGTGCGTAAAAGCAAGATGGTTACGTTAAATACAGCACATCAAAGAAGAACAACCAATTTGATCGTAGTGAAAATGAACTTATTCTGATTGAAAAGCATGGGGCAAGATATCAAAGATAACAGTTGTCCAATAGTTCATGGCTTCGTGAAATGGTGCTTCATAAGATGACATGTGGGAGCGCTACGTCCATCCAAAGCGGGATTTTTTTTACAATGGTCAACCTGCTGAATCCGCATCCTCTTTCGTCCAATAAGCTCGGTCACATAATGGAAAGGATGGAATTTTGACATCAAAGTGAGAACCAGTAGAACGCTCGAATCTGAACGAACCCCACATATGGGCCCAAGGAACCGGAACTTGAACGTGGCTATGGTATTGAAATACTGGACTTTCCTCGGATAGGATGGGTTGCTGGACAGGGGCGTGGAAGGGTTATGGGAAGAAAGATCACATGATCAAAAGCAGTCTGTGAATAAATGAATAGGAATAGCATGAATAGAGAGTGAGTGGCCAATCCGTTATATAAAAACACCGAATCACAGACTATACATGTGTCTAGCGGATCGCAAACGAAGTAGAAAATTGGGTCACTTCGAAGCACTCGTTGTGTGAATGGATTGCGACGACCAATATCAATGTGAACGACAATTCACATTGAAATGAACATTGGTCAGTTTGATCATTGGAACCGTAATTGATGGAACAATGGTTTTATTAAGGGTAAAAATGTTAAAGGTTTACAGGTCCCCCAGGATGGTTATGGTGAAACCTCAAAATATAAAAAAATAGCAAAATTGGGTTAGCACCGGTGAACTCACTGAGGTATACGTAATATAAGCTGTAAATCCAAGGTAAATCCATAAGGAATGACGCCAAATGGGATGTTGGTAAAAATCGTGTCTTCTCCTGGTGTACACGTACAGGAGGTGAAAAAAGTGGAACGAAATCTGGGATTTAACCGCCAGTGAAATCGCTTACAAACACTTGTAGGTATCCATGGGGAAGGAGTCATGTGTAATAATGCAGCAAAATAAGTGCACGGTCAACTCGGGCTTTGAACTCTACCAGCGTGGGAGCACATGACAGATTCCGGTAGGGCATTTCACGTTCGGCAAACGCGTACGGAAAAGAAATTCCGATGACATTCCAACGACTGTACTGCTCTGCCAGCTTGAGATGGTGGCCTCCCAAATTACCGTTGTAACTGAGCTCTAGCAAGTACCGGCACGTGTGATTGGGATCTCTCAAAATCTGGTGAGTCAGAATGAAGTCCCCGCGCAATTGCCGATACTGTCCGCCGAAGACCCCGAGCACTTGAAGCCTACGTTGATGCGGTAAATTATACAAACCTTTGACCTTTTTGGTTGCTCGACGTTGGGGTATCTCCAAGGAGGTGAGATCGCTCCTCAGTGGTGACTGCCAGACCTGGATGGCGTATTCCACATGTGGACGTATGTATAAGCCGAGAATCTGTGGAAAAATCGAAGGGTCGAATCGTCCGAATACACGCCTCAGGGGGCTCACGTGTTGGATGCTCCTGGACGCCGTTTCAGCCTGACTCGAACATCCAAAGTTGGCCTGGACCAAAACTCCCAGATCCTTTTCGCCAGAAGACGCTTGAAGCTTCTGGTTGCCGAGTTTGTAGGAGTACATCAACTTGTGACCTAAGTGCTGCACTTTACATTTGTCCACATTAAATCGAAGTGGATTCTGGATTGACCATGCGTATACCTTATCCACACCGGCTTGAAGTACTGTGATATCATCTGGTGTATTGAATGACGTCCACACTTGGATTTCAACGGCATAAAGCAAGCAGTTTGAGCTTGAGGCGTGTGATATCGTTAATATACGTCAAAAATAATCACAGCCCTAGTACCGATCCATGTGGTACTCTGCATTCAACTCGGATGGGACCTGGCAGCGATTCACGCACTCGTACCTCCAAGCGTCGGTGTAGAAGAAAACGTTTCATCCATCTCAGGGGAGGATCACTAATCCCAGACGTCTGGAATTTGAAGAGCAGAATGTCATGGTCTAACTGGTCGAACGCCCTTGAGAAGTCGAGAAAGACTACATCAACTCCTGTGCCAGAGTCTACTGCTTCAGTCTAGCTGGATCGTGCTAGTAGTAGATTTGTAGTGCACGATCGATTTCGTCGGAAGAACATGCTGTTCCGGTGCAAAGTAGTTAAATTCCTTCCAAGTAGACCGTTAGCGCATCAGAAATAATAGTTTCCATAATCTTTGAAAGAACTAGTAGTAAGATTAGGGGACGATATTTGACTGGATTGCAACGACTACCTCCCTTGTGAATAGGAGTTATCATCCCGTGCTTCCGCATGTCGGGCACGTACATTTCGTCAAAACAGTGTTGGAGGAATCGAGCCAAAGGCTTAGCTAAACTCTCTCCTACCGCCGCTAGCGACTTCGAGTGCATATTGTCAACTCCAGAAGAGCTGTGCTTACGCATACTCAACAGCTTCTTTAATACAGCTTCTGCCATGAAGGATACGTGAGTTTCGGGAGGTGAAACAACCATTGTTATAGGGTTATGTGGCCAGTGATCGCACTGTAATGTTGCAGCATATTGTAGGCGCAGGGTATTCGCCGCCTCCTTCGCTGTCCGTGGGTCCGTTCGTCTCCGTTTTACCTCACGTAGACTGTTGACCTGTTGATACAGAAGCCCGTGAATTGAGGTCATACGCACAGCCAACTTCTGCTGGTACGTCATTCTATTCTAGCGAAGAAACTGAGAACAGTGGTTACGTTGAGTCGCATAGGCCATCCAAGTCTCGGTGAGAATTTATTGATATACTAGGCTGAGTTTCGCACCGCTATACACTTGCGTCCTGCTTCACCGAAACGAGACTGGATATTGGGCGTTGCCAGCTCAAAAACGCTGCACTCCAACACTAGTTTGGAACTCTGTTGCCCGGTCGTTTATTAATAACCGGAATCTAATTGTAACTAATACTGAATTCCAATCTGTATTGATTAGAGCAGATCGGAATCCACTGGAAAGAGAGGTCTTGAAACCTAGAACTATTTCAGCAAATCATGTGAGCACAAAGTCTGAACAGTCGCCTTTAAAAACCATAATGTTGACCTCGATGACACTAACATACCGGATTCGAGTTACGCCGCGGAGGAGATTCCCTGCGCAACCAAATAAGAAGATATGATAGTCTTAAATGGAGATACGCTCAAAGCTGTCACACACGTCAGCGAGCAAAACACTGAACTATCTGAGCCAAATGAAAGTAATAAGCAGTCTAATAGCCCGATCCCAGAATAAGGATTTATCAAACCGATGCTAAAAAAGAAAACGAGTCCTTTCCGGAAGAATGCCGGCCCAATAAAAGTCCTAGCTTTAAATATACTTAGTGTGTACAAAGTAGCCGATATTATGCGGAAAGTCATAGGGAACGTAAGTTTAAACGGACGCCTTATCTCAGGCATAAGACTCCAACCATCGTCAGCGGAGCACGACGGTTCACTGCTCCGTTTATCAGATTCATCCGATATTAAATCCTTGCACTCTCAATGTCAGACCATGAGACAGCTCATACCATTCAATTGATGGAACACAATGTAGCAACCACGGCGTCAGTTATCTTTACCGCCCACCAACATGTGCAACCCGAAACCAAACCAGAGCATTTTTTGCAACGACTGGAGCCTACCACCGCCAACCCAAGTGCCGAGTCTTTCCAGTCCAGTGAGGCATCTCTTTCTCAACCGGTTTTTAAGCCTAGCACAACTATGCCAATCTTGCTGCGGCCTCAGCCCCCCGAGATTTCCACCAACACCACCACTCCCACCATGGATACCGAGGAATGCAGCAGCAACGGCATACCTCTATTTATCAATGAAGTCCTAACTCTGCCAAAACAGCAACACGCTGTCAGACTGCTTCTTATGAATGCTCGCTCTATAAATAATAAAATACACACAGCGCCATCTGCTTACTCTGTCAACTCCTGATTTGCTACTCATAACTGAAACCTGGCATGACCTCCACACTCCAAATGAGTTCTACCAAATGGTGAGCTATTCACCATTGATGAACAGCCTACCGGTTGGTACGGCAGGCGGTTACGCTATTTATGCACGGGACGAACTCCGTACTCAATTAATAGCAAACCCGAAACTCAATGTCATAAATGAATCCGTGTGGATCTCTATTGAAATGTATTGTTCTCTAATTTTGGTTGGATGTATTTACAATCCATTTCGTTATAACGCGTTACTTTTAGAGCACCACACTTTTTTGAAGTTGCTTCTGAGCTACCCTTCAGTTAAAACATAATCGGAGGTGATTATAATTTACCAGAGATTTCATAGCCAGGGTATACAGCACCACCAAAGCTGTTGAGTTTCGTCTCCGAAGTCCGGGCCCAAGGATGGACTCAAGTGGTTCATAAACCTACCAGGGAAAACAATAGTTTAGATCTCATTTTTGTCCAAGACGTACACCCCACTTTTGTCGATGTATTATCTCGTTTCCCAGGTAGTGATCATAGAGTCGTGTACCTCAGTTTCGCGGCACTCGATCCCGTCCCACTTTGTAACACAAGACAACTAGCAGAGCCCTTAAGAGACTTTAGAGATGTAAACTGGGACACATTTGCTATACTGCTGCGAAAAATGAACTGGGATCTCTGCTTTCTCACCAGAGATCAACAGGTCAGTGGCGTAGCAACTACTTTTGTCGCCCCTTGGCAGTTGTAAATCCGTAAACACACAATGGCAAACGGACCACAAATATTTCATTTCATATAACAACAATCAAAGATTTAATTTTAGAGTGCTGCTTTAATGCAAGTGTTTGTGGTGTTACCATACTCGTGTACAAATATTGCTGATACGCTTTTCGTGCATTACTTGAGACAAGAGTATTGATGACACTAACAAAATTCAGTGCATTGGCAAGTTCTCTTTGTATGGGAAGAACTGCCAATCCGTGATTGATGATTTAAATTTTGCGTTGTGAGAATGCGCTCTCACAACTGGCAGTACTAATACTGTGAGTAAGAAAGATGCACAGCAGATTTCCCAAGGTGAGATTTATACACGAAAGTCAAAAGTTCAGAAGTTAAATTACTTTTGTCGTTACTTGAAGCTTTCACTAAACACTGCCATCTTCCTTCGGCAGGGGATTCCTATGTTCTATATATTCCTCAAATTCGTTAAGCGGATAACCATAGTTATCACCAAGCCGATTTGACGAATGTAAGAAAAGCATATTTGTTTGCAAAATCATGCAGTTGCTGAAATCTATGGCATTTCCTCAGTCAAACTGTCTATGAAAGACAGCATCAAATCAAATCGATATATGAAACAATTCTTCGCCGTTTATTCGTTTCTTTTGGCTGATTCGGCGCTTCATGCTTGTCCCCAATTCAGCGT